GCAGGTGTAATGGAGAATGGGGGTTGCAGGGTGACCTGAGGGGTGCAGGGTGACCCAGGCAGGGTTAGGAATGGGGGGTGCAGGGTGACCCAGACAGGGTGACCTGGGGGGTTCAGGGTGACCCAGGCAGGGTGGGGAATGGGGAGTGCAGGGTGACCCAGGCAGGGTAGGGAATGGAGGGTGCAGGGTCACGCAGGTGTAATGGAGAATGGGGGTTGCAGGGTGACCTGGGGGGTACAGGGTGACCCAGGCGGGGCAGGGAATGGGGGGTGCAGGGTGACCCAGGCAGGGTGACCTGGGGGGTGCAGGGTGACCCAGGCGGGATGTGGGGAATGGGGGGTGCAGGGTCACGCAGGTGTAATGGAGAATGGGGGTTGCAGGGTGACCTGGGGGTGCAGGGTGACCCAGGCAGGGTGACCTGGGGGGTGCAGGGTGACCCAGGCGGGGTGGGGAATGGGGGGTGCAGGGTCATACAGGTGTAATGGAGAATGCGGGTTGCAGGGTGACCTGGGGAGTGCAGGGTGACCCAGGTGGGATGTGGGGAATGGGGGGTGCAGAATGACTCAGGCAGGGTGACCTGGGGGGTGCAGAGTGACCCAGGCGGGATGTGGGGAATGGGGGGTGCAGGGTGGCCCAGGCTGGGTGGGGAATAGGGGCTGCAGGGTCACGCAGGTGTAATGGAGAATGGGGGTTGCAGGGTGACCTGGGGGGTGCAGGGTGACCGAGGCGGGGCGGGGAATGGGGGGTGCAGGGTGACCCAGGCTTGGCGGGGAATGGGTGGTGCAGGGACACCCAGGCAGGGTGACCTGGGGGGGTGAAGGGTGACCCAGGCAGGGTGGGCAATGGGGGTGCAGGGTCATGCAGGTGTAATGGAGAATGGGGGTTGCAGGGTGACCTGGGGGGTGCAGGGTGACCCAGGCAGGGCGGGGAATGGGGGGTGCAGGGTGACCCAGGCGGGGCGGGGAATGGGGGGTGCAGGGTCACCCAGGCAGGGTGACCTGGGGGGGTATAGGGTGATCCTGGCAGGGTGGGGAATGGGGGGTGCAGGGTGACCCAGGCAGGGTGGGGAAGGGGGGGTGCAGGGTCACGCAGGTGTAATGGAGAATGGGGGTTGCAGGGTGACATGGGGGGTGCAGGGTGACCCAGGTGGGATGTGGGGAATAGTGGGTGCAGGGTGACCCAGGCAGGGTGACCTGGGGGGTGCAGGGTGACCCAGGCAGGGTGGGGAATGGGGGGTGCAGGGTCACGCAGGTGTAATGGAGAATGGGGGTTGCAGGGTGAAATGGGGGGTGCATGGTGACCCAGGTGGGATGTGGGAAATAGTGGGTGCAGGGTGACCCAGGCAGGGTGACCTGGGGGGTGCAGGGTGACCCAGGCGCGGCAGGGAATGGGGGGTGCAGGGTGACTCAGGCAGGGTGACCTGAGGCGTGTAGGGTGACCCAGGCGGGGTGGGGAATGGGGGGTGCAGGGTCATGCAGGTGTAATGGAGAATGGGAGTTGCAGGGTGACCTGGGGGGTGCAGGGTGACCCAGGCGGGATGTGGGGAATGGGGGGTGCAGGGTGACCCAGGCTGGGTGGGGAATAGGGGTTGCAGGGTCACGCAGGTGTAATGGAGAATGGGGGTTGCAGGGTGACCTGGGAGGTGCAGGGTGACCCAGGCGGGATGTGGGGAATGGGGGGTGCAGGGTGGCCCAGGCTGGGTGGGGAATAGGGGCTGCAGGGTCACGCAGGTGTAATGGAGAATGGGAGTTGCAGGGTGACCTGGGGGGTGCAGGGTGACCCAGGCGGGGCGGGGGAATGGGGGGTGCAGGGTGACTCAGGCAGGGTGATCTGGAGGGGTGTAGGGTGACCCAGGCGGGGTGGAGAATGGGGGGTGCAGGGTCATGCAGGTGTAATGGAGAATGGGAGTTGCAGGGTGACCTGGGGTGTGCAGAATGACCCAGGCAGGGTGACCTGGGGGGTGCAGGGTGACCCAGGCGGGATGTGGGGAATTGGGGGTGCAGGGTGACCCAGGCTGGGTGGGGAATAGGGGGTGCAGGGTCACGCAGGTGTAATGGAGAATGGGGGTTGCAGGGTGACCTGGGGGGTGCAGGGTGACCCAGGCATGGCGGGGAATGGGGGGTTCAGGGTGACCCAGGCGGGGCGGGGAATGGGGGGTGCAGGGTCACCCAGGCAGGGTGACCTGGGGGGGTGTAGGGTGATCCTGGCAGGGTGGGGAATGGGGGGTGCAGGGTGACCCAGGCAGGGTGGGGAAGGGGGGGTGCAGGGTTACGCAGGTGTAATGGAGAATGGGGGTTGCAGGGTGACATGGGGGGTGCAGGGTGACCCAGGTGGGATGTGGGGAATAGTGGGTGCAGGGTGACCCAGGCAGGGTGACCTGGGGGGGTGCAGGGTGACCCAGGCAGGGTGGGGAATGGGGGGTGCAGGGTGACCCAGGCAGGGTGGGGAATGGGGGGTGCAGGGTCACGCAGGTGTAATGGAGAATGGGGGTTGCAGGGTGAAATGGGGGGTGCAGGGTGACCCAGGTGGGATGTGGGAAATAGTGGGTGCAGGGTGACCCAGGCAGGGTGACCTGGGGGGTGCAGGGTGACCCAGGCGGGCAGGGAATGGGGGGTGCAGGGTGACTCAGGCAGGGTGACCTGAGGCGTGTAGGGTGACCCAGGCGGGGTGGGGAATGGGGGGTGCAGGGTCATGCAGGTGTAATGGAGAATGGGAGTTGCAGGGTGACCTGGGGGGTGCAGAATGACCCAGGCAGAGTGACCTGGGGGGTGCAGGGTGACCCAGGCGGGATGTGGGGAATGGGGGGTGCAGGGTGACCCAGGCTGGGTGGGGAATAGGGGTTGCAGGGTCACGCAGGTGTAATGGAGAATGGGGGTTGCAGGGTGACCTGGGAGGTGCAGGGTGACCGAGGCGGGGCGGGGAATGGGGGGTGCAGGTTGACCCAGGCGGGGCGGGGAATGGGTGGTGCAGGGTCACCCAGGCAGGGTGACCTGGGGGGGGTGAAGGGTGACCCAGGCATGGTGAGGAACGGGGGTGCAGGGTGACCCAGGCAGGGCGGGGCATGGGGGGTGCAGAGTGACCCAGGCAGGGTGACCTGTAGGGGTGTAGGGTGACCCAGGCGGGGTGGGGTATGGGGGGTGCAGGGTCATGCAGGTGTAATGGAGAATGGGAGTTGCAGGGTGACCTGGGGGGTGCAGAATGACCCAGGCACGGTGACCTGGGGGGTGCAGGGTGACCCAGGCGGGATGTGGGGAATGGGGGGTGCAGGGTGACCCAGGCTGGGTGGGGAATAGGGGGTGCAGGGTCACGCAGGTGTAATGGAGAATGGGGGTTGCAGGGTGACCTGGGTGGTGCAGGCGGGATGTGGGGAATGGGGGGTGCAGGGTGACCCAGGCAGGGTGGGGAATGGGGGGTGCAGGGTCACACAGGTGTAATGGAGAATGGGGGTTGCAGGGTGACCTGCAGGGTGACCCAGGCAGGGTGCGGAATGGGGGTTTGAGGGTGACCCAATCGGGGTGACCTGGGGGGTGCAGGGTGACCCAGGCGAGGCGGGGAATGGGGGGTGCATGGTGACCCAGGCAGGGCAGGGAAGGGGGGTGCAGGGTGACCCAGGCAGGGTGACCTGGGGGGTGCAGGGTGACCCAGGCTGGGTGGGGAATAGGGGGTGCAGGGTCACGCAGGTGTAATGGAGAATGGGGGTTGCAGGGTGACCTGGGAGGTGCAGGGTGACCGAGGCGGGGCGGGGAATGGGGGGTGCAGGGTCACCCAGGCAGGGTGACCTGGGGGGGGTGAAGGGTGACCCAGGCATGGTGAGGAACGGGGGTGCAGGGTGACCCAGACAGGGCGGGGCATGGGGGGTGGAGAGTGACCCAGGCAGGGTGACCTGTAGGGGTGTAGGGTGACCCAGGCGGGGTGGGGTATGGGGGGTGCAGGGTCATGCATGTGTAATGGAGAATGGGAGTTGCAGGGTGACCTGGGGGGTGCAGAATGACCCAGGCACGGTGACCTGGGGGGTGCAGGGTGACCCAGGCGGGATGTGGGGAATGGGGGGTGCAGGGTGACCCAGGCAGGGTGGGGAATGGGGGGTGCAGGGTCACACAGGTGTAATGGAGAATGGGGGTTGCAGAGTGACCTGGGGGTGCAGGGTGACCCAGGCAGGGTGCGGAATGGGGGTTTGAGGGTGACCCAGTCGGGGTGACCTGGGGGGTGCAGGGTGACCCAGGCGAGGCGGGGAATGGGGGGTGCAGGGTGACCCAGGCAGGGTGACCTGGGGGGTGCAGGGTGACCCAGGCGGGATGTGGGGAATGGGGGTGCAGGGTGACCCAGGCTGGGTGGGGAATGGGGGGTGCAGGTTCATGCAGGTGTAATGGAGAATGGGGGTTGCAGAGTGACCTGGTGGGTGCAGGGTGACCCAGGTGGGATGTGGGAAATGGGGGGTGCAGGGTGACCCAGGCAGGGTTAGGAATGGGGGATGCAGGGTGACCCAGACAGGGTGACCTGGGGGGTGCAGGGTGACCCAGGTGGGTTGTGGGAATGGAGGGTGCAGAGTGACCCAGGCAGGGTTAGGAATGGGGGATGCAGGGTGACCCAGACAGGGTGACCTGGGGGGTGCAGGGTGACCCAGGCTGGGTGGGGAATGGGGGGTGCAGGTTCATGCAGGTGTAATGGAGAATGGGGGTTGCAGAGTGACCTGGTGGGTGCAGGGTGACCCAGGTGGGATGTGGGAAATGGGGAGGTGCAGGGTGACCCAGGCAGGGTTAGGAATGGGGGATGCAGGGTGACCCAGACAGGGTGACCTGGGGGGTGCAGGGTGACCCAGGTGGGTTGTGGGGAATGGAGGGTGCAGAGTGACCCAGGCGGGGCGGGGAATGGAGGGTGCATGGTGACCCAGGCGGGATCTGGGGAATGGGTGGTGCAGGGTCACGCAGGTGTGATGGAGAATGGGGGTTGCAGGGTGATCTGGGGTGCAGGGTGACCCAGGCGGGATGTGTGGTGTTCACCTCATTGTAATCCAAGGAGGAGTCATTGCAGAGGGCACAGATAGTGGCCAGTTCAACCAACCCATCGTACTGCCCAGCCTTCACATGCTTGTCATTCTTCAGCCTGCAGAGACACAGGGTAGGGGAGTGAGGGGGAGATGAGATGTGGTAAAGAAAGGGGGGTGCACAGAGATGGGGAAGGGGAGGGAGGGACAGGGACACACAGAGATGGGGGAGAGAGGGGACACCAAGAGGCAGCAATGAAGGATGGTGACAGATTGCCCCAGAGGGGAGGTCAGCGACAGAGTGGAGTCATGGGGATGGTGGGAGTATGGGGGTTGCACGGTGGCTGAGGATACTGGGGGTTTGGGTCATGGGAGATGCTGGAGTTAGGGATGTCAGGGGTCATGGGGGATGCTGGGGTTGGGAGAGTCAGGGTGTGACATCCCGTACTGCCATGTTCAGCACTTTTATATGGTTATGATATAATTTTGTACAAAGTATACCTTGTGAGGTATTATTTGAAAACTCATAATCTGCTGAACATCGTTGTCCCGTTAAAAGGTATATAAAAGCACTGCATGTAAAATGATGAGCTTTTACTATAAGTGTGTTGCTAAAATATGTTGTAATTCTGGAGAACACTCATAGACTTGCTGGAGGATTCTCTGCTCCTTGAAGTCTTTAAACCATGGTTTGAGGACTTCAATAGCTCAGACATAGATGAGAGGTTTATCGCAGGAGTGGGTGGGTGAGATTCTGTGGCCTGCGTTGTGCAGGAGGTCGGACTAGATGATCATAATGGTCCCTTCTGACCTTAATATCTATGAATCTATGACTAGCTCTCCAGAAAAAAACAAAAAAGACTGAGCACAAGTGCTCAAGAGCCATTACTTGTTTAATCGGGCATTCAAAAGAAGGGGGGAAGGTATAGACAAAAGAATTTACAATTCATATGAAGGACAGTTTACAGACTACATATGCAATGGAACTGCCTAACCCCATGACCCAGCAAGGATTTTTCCAGCAGAAGGGGTTGGGGTATAAGAATAGAGAACACACAACACACAAATTACCTCTCCTCCCCCACCGCCACTCACGGCAGCAAGACCACGTGAAAGACAATAGGAGAACTGGGGGTGGGGGTGGTAGTCCTGGTTGGGAGGCTTTCCAATTAGCACAGACTGCTGAAAGTTTTTGGGTGAGAGAAACCTTTTTGGTTTAAAACTATTAGCCTGGGTAAAGTTTAGGAAATAGATGCGTGTTAATCTTGTATTTCTTCTGTAACCCATTCTGACCTTTGTGCCTTAACACTTATAATCATTTAAACTCTCTCATTCTCTGATTAATAAACTGGTTTTATCTAAACCAGTTGAAGTGTTTGGGGAATCTCTAGTCAGGTTAACAAGGCTGGTGCATGATCATTCCCTTTGATGGAATGACGGACTATTCACAAGCGTACACTGTTCGGGGTGGGGGTCCTGAGCAGTGTAAGATGCACATTTCTCGGGTGCAAGGCTGGGGCTAAGAATTTGCAGGTCATAGTTCAGGAGTGGTTGGGACCACATTCATGTAACTTTTCTGGGAGTGACTGTACATGCTAATGGCTGTGTGTGCGCAGAGTCTAGAGAAGCTGCTTGTCATTAGCAAGGCCGTGAAAGAGGCACTGTGGGCTGGAGAGTTAAGGGGACACAGCAGTTTAGTGGTTCAGGTTTTACCCTGGGGAGTGTCACACAGGGGTCATGGGAATGTCAAGAGTCATGGGGCATGCTGGGGTTAGGGGGATGTCAGGGGTCAGGGGGTGCTGGGGTTGGGGATGTCAAGGGCCATGGTGGATGCTGGGGTCAGGGGCCATGAGGGATGCTGAAGTTGGGAGTGTCAGGGGATGTAGGATGTCAGGGGGATATCGGGGGTCACTCACACTTCTCCCTCAGGGGCGTAGGTGGATCCGGTGATGCTCAACTCATTCAGGGAACAGACATCTCCCTCCACCTTCTCAACAACAAACATCTGCCAAGAGACACAGAGAAACAGGGTCAGGGCTGGCGGCCCATGGGGATGCGGGTCAGGGACACATGGAGGGGCTGTCCAGGGAGGGGGGGTGCCCCTTACCTTGCACACAGACATCTGGTTGGTGGTGAGGGTGCCGGTTTTGTCGGAGCAGATGACTGAGGTGCAGCCCAGGGTCTCCACGGATGGCAGGCTCCGGACAATGGCGTTCTTCTTGGCCATGCGGCGGGTGCCCAGGGCTAGGCAGGTGGTGATGACCGCTGGGAGACCTGCAAGGGAGGGGAGCAGAGGTTAATGTCCAGCGTGTTACCATGGAGTCACTGCCAGGGCCTGCTCTGGACCGGGAAGGATCAGGGCTGGGAACAGCTGGAATCTGTTCACCTCCAGGGGGCTGCATATGGAGCCTGGACACTCAGGCCCTGGAATGGCTCCGAAGAGCAGGCAGACCCTAGGCCCCGCAGACACACAGACTGACCTTCAGGAATGGCGGCCACAGCCAGGGCCACGGCGATCTTGAAGTAGTAGATGGCACCACGGATCCAGGAGCCGCCGTGGACGGGGTCGTTGAAGTGGCCGATATTGATGAGCCAGACGGCCACGCAGATGAGCGAAATGACCTTGGAGAGCTGCTCCCCGAACTCATCCAGCTTCTGCTGCAGAGGCGTCTTATCCTGTTCCGTGGCTGCCATCTCATCCCGGATCTTCCCGATCTCGGTGCCCACCCCTGTGGCAATGACGATGCCCACAGCCTTGCCAGCTGCCACATTGGTGCCCTGCAGGGGGAGGCAGTGAGGGGTGTTGGCAGGGGAGGAGGAGCAGCAGCACCAACAGGGGGCATGCATGGAGACCCTGTGGAGCCCAAAACAGGGGACTGGGGCAAAGCTCTGTCTGGCCAGCATGGCTGGGGGCATTGGTGACCCCCAGGGGCAGGTCTCTAGTCTGGGGGCGACCCTGGGGAGTAGCTCTCTGGCTGGGTGCAGGGTGGGGGAAACCCGGGGATAGCTCTCTGGCTCGGGTACAGGGTGTGGGTGACCTGGGGGGGTAGCTCTCAGGCTAGATGCAGGCTGGGGGTGACCCGGGGGTAGCTCTCTGGCTCAGTGAAGGTTGGGGGTGACCCTGGGGGTAGCTCTCTGGTTGGGTGCAGGGTTGGGGTAACCCAGGGGAAGATCTCTGGCTGGGTGCAGGGTGGGAGTGACTCCAGCTGGGGTGCAGGGTGGGGATGACACAAAGTGGGGGGTTTTCTTAATGGTTTGCATGAACACTGTGGGTGCCTCAGTTTTCCTGTGTGCTGCATGTGGAAAAAGGGGTTGGGTGAGGGTGTTTGTTGTTGCAGAGGACCAGGTACGACCTCGCCTAGCAGTCTGGATCCCAGACAATGGCCTGGAGATTGGGTACCCTAGCAACTGGTGGCTGTGAACCCTCCCCACCCTCCAGCTTGGAAGTCAGCTGGTTCAAGCCACTGGGAGGACAATGGGCTGAGGAGACAGGACCCCGGTGACCTGACCAGCCAGTTCCAGCCAAAGGGGAACAAAGGATGGAAGAGAGGGGGTCCCAGGCAGTACCAGCAAGAGATTTTAGCAGGTATTGGGTATCGGAAAGACTTGGGGCTAGCCCCGACCCTCCAGAGATGGGGGTGGAGCTGCGCTCTGCTCCTTAAAGAGCAGAACATGGCTAGGGAGGGCATTCATTCTTTATATGGCTTTAACAGCACAATGAATATACTAACAAACTTAAATAAAGGCTTTGTTTAAGTTTGTTAGCATATGTATTGTGCTGTTAAATTGGCCAGGAGACCTCAAGAGGGGAGGAGTGGGAGAGAGGGGAACGGAAGGTGTTTAAACAGTGTTTTTGATTCTGTTTCTCCCCATTGGTCTGAATTATCCGTGACATTCATACTGCATCACATCAAGTCCAAATCATTAGAGGAATGCTTGCACTGACAAAAGGTTTCAGAGTAACAGCCGTGTTAGTCTGTATTCGCAAAAAGAAAAGGAGTACTTGTGGCACCTTAGAGACTAACCAATTTATTTGAGCATAAGCTTTCGTGAGCTACAGCTCACTTCATCAGCTGTAGCTCATGAAAGCTTATGCTCAAATAAATTGGTTAGTCTCTAAGGTGCCACAAGTACTCCTTTTCTTTTTACTGACAAAAGGATGTTTGGATTCTGATGTCAGCCCAATTCTGCAGCCTGACAGGAATCAGGTGTTGTCCCCAGTGTACCTAGAATTCTTTACAGCCAAACTAGTCTAACATGCATTTTGCTAACTGGAACTGGAGCAGCAAAACAAATTTAAAAAAATGCCTTATTTTCCATCTTTGTGGGTGAGAGAACTATAAGTGAAGAGTATAATGCTGGACACTGATGACCTTAAACCAGCTGCCTCAGGAATCTGCCAAGAACTTTGCTGAAAATATGTCCCTCCTCTTAGCAACGGAGCTAAGACGTATCACACATCTGCCCACCTTTAGTCGAAGGAAGCTCCTTCTGATCTCACAGCTCAGGCATTGTCATTTTCATCCAGAACAATTTACAAACTTGGAATCTAATCCTGTAAACCCTTAATCATTTGATCAATCCCATTGAAGTGAATGGGCCTATTTGCATGTCTGGACCACTTTTGTGGTAAGAGATTCAGGAGTCTGTTTTGTTCCTATAAAGGAAGTTGAATCTCCCATTGAAATTCAATGTTTGGGTACAATACCATAATGCAGTTTAGGATACAGTTTTACTTAAAATTTGTTTTTTAATAAGTCATACATATGCTGAAATGGCTCCTCACCTAACTCCCATATTCCATATAAACAGACTAAAATACTACATATTTTGGGGGAAAGTCAGTAGTTAAGCATGTTGATATTTGTATATACAAACAGACATTTTATCACTGTACTGGAAAATATAGCTGAACTTAATTTTCTATGGAATTTGAAGAAAGTTTAACAGCCCCAATTGTTTTCTGTGTTAATCAGCGTGAACCTGAAAAAAATACATGCCTTCTAAGAGAAAAGAATCAGTCCACACTTACTGAAAAAAAAAATCCTTCTAACTGGTGTTCAGAAGAGTGCTACAAGACACATACATAACCTCATGAGCAGAGGGCGGAGAGGATACCCTCCTGTGATGTTGCACTCCATATGATTTTAAGAAAATATGCTAATGAGTGTGAATATAATGTAACTGGAATATGCTTCATGCAAAAGGTCTCATGTAAGGTATCATGCATCTGATGAAGTGGGTTTTAGCCCACAAAAGCTTATGCCCAAATAAATTTGTTAGTCTCTAAGGTGCCATAAGGACTCCTCGTTGTTTTTGCTGATACAGACTAACACGGCTACCCCTCTGAAACCCATTACAAAGCTTATAACCTACTGAGTGTGGTCATCCTACTTGTATAAATGTATCACTCTTGTATCTTGACAGGTTTCAGAGGAACAGCCGTGTTAGTCTGTATTCGCAAAAAGAAAAGGAGTACTTGTGGCACCTTAGAGACTAACCAATTTATTTGAGCATGAGCTTTCGTGAGCTACAGCTCACTTCATCAGATGTTTACCGTGGAAACTGCAGCAGACTTTATATACACACAGAGAATATGAAACAATACCTCCTCCCACCCCACTGTCCTGCTGGTAATCTGAAACTAGAAATATTAAATACAACTCTGAGTTCCTATTGTAATTATGCAAAGTGTGGGCCATTAATGGTTTGGAATCTTGATAGCTCCCATCAACTAGGACAATTGGTTGTAAATGGCTCTGTTTACTTGCAAGCCTTCCTGTGAGTCAGGCCAGGAAGAATGAAGGCTTGAGGTCTCACAGGACATGTGACCATGTCACCTAGTACTGGAATTCATCTTAAACCTGGTGCTTTTCCATTTAGAAAGAGGGGTGAGGACCCAGAGAGACAAAAGATTCCCGCCTTGTGACAAAGCTATATAACGGTTGGAACAGAACAAAGGAGGTTCCAGTCATGAGAAATCCCCTAGTTACCACCTGAGCTGGAACAAGGACTGTACCAGGGGAAAGGATTGGGCCCAGACTAGGAAGGTCTGCGAAAGAAGCTTATTGGAACATCTTTGAGGGTGAGGTTTTTATCTGTAATCAGTTTCTTAATGTATTGGGCTTATACTTACGTGTTTTGTTTTTTTCCTTGGTAACTTACTTTGTTCTGTCTGTTATTACTTGGAACCACTTAAATCCTACTTGTTATTCTTAATAAAATCACTTTTGCTTATTAATTAACCCAGAGTAAGCAATTAATACCGGGGGAGCAAACAGCTATGTATGTCTCTCTATCAGTGTTATAGAGGGCGGACAATTTATGAGTTTACCCTGTATAAGCTTTATACAGAGTAAAACAGATTTATTTGGGGTTTGGATCCCATTGGGAGCTGGGTGTCTGGGTGTTAGAGACAGGAGCACTTGCTAAGCCATTTTCAGTTAAGTCTGCAGCTTTGGGGGTGTGGGTCAGACTGTGGGTCTGTGTTGCAGCAGGCTGGCGTGTCTGGCTCAACAAAGCAGGGTTCTGGAGGCCCAAACTGGCAGAGAAAACGGGCTCAGAGGTAGTCTCAGCACATCAGATGACAGTCGCAAGGGGGATTCTGTGACCCAACTTGTCACACCTCCCACATTATGACCAGCAAAATAATAATAATAATAATAATAAAATTTCAAAGAGGCAGAGGTTCACAGATTTGAAAACCTAAAATCCTGTGTTATTCTTTAAACTACCTCAGCACATACCAGGTTTATGAACATTAAAAAGTTAACTGCAAAGGAACTTTGAAGCCCATTAACCTGAATGGGGGCCAGCCAGTCTGCCCTCATGGAGTAAAGGTGCAGTCACACCTGAACAGCTCAAAATTAACCTTGCTCCTTTAGGCTAAATGGAGTCATGTCACTGGCTCCATCTCTGTTGTTACATAACAGATAAAACTCCAGTGGGGCCTGGTGCTGGCACAGAGGGTCTCAGGTACGTGGTGTGATTTTTTCAGAATCTCTTTTGGGACTAGTCATGTAGGTGAAATAACTGGTACTTATGATTATGCTATTTCTATGCCTGTGTATTCATCTTGGTAGCTGAAGTTATGAATATTAGCTCTGTTTACTACATGTTTGCTCCTGTGGTAATGCCCACAAGATATTTAGCCAGCACATGAAGGGACAAGTCAAGCTGAATTGCCCATTAAGGAATACTTAGCTCACACTGGACCGTGGAAAATGCCTGTCTACACTTAATGGACATTTTGTGAATGTTCTAACTAGAATATGGGTGGGAGTGATGGACATGTAAGTTGCCCATGTGACTCCAAACACCATCTTTCACAGTGAGAATAGATTTCCCTTTACTTGGCACTTGGCAGAAGCTAAAAGGCCCTGGTCTGGAAACATATCTATTTTGCCTTTCCTACTCTGTCCTCTTTCCTGCTCCAGCCTCTGGGCAATGAACATATACTAATGGGAGCATTCTAACCAAGGGACTGAGGACTTTAAGGTAATCTGGAGCCTTGATATTCCTTGATCCTTTGCAGATGGACTTATGAGCTGGAAATAGTACAGAGACTGTTCTAACCTCATTGATTGCTGATTTCTCCCTTGCAATGGACAAAGATCAGATGTTTGCTGACTTTCTCACGAGTCAGCAGCCTTTGACAGCTGTGGTATAAGCAACGTAGCCCTTGCTTGAGTGGTTTTGTTCTTTCCTCTCCAAATGTCAAAGCCTGCTCCCATTGAACTCAATAGCAAAACTCCTTTTGATTTCAATGGGAATGGGATTTGGCCCCAGAGATCAGATAATGTAATTTTGATCAATTGCTTATCTGTCCAGAGACAGTTCTTATGAATGTTCTGCCAGGCTGATTTTGATTTCCCCTCCTATGTGTCATGCTGAGGAAAATAATAAAACAATTTGGGCTGTAGTCCTATCAAGATGTACATGGCACACACAGTTCTGTGCCTCTTTTCCATCAAACTCAGATGGTGCAGCATCTTTGCTTTCCTAGTGCCTGGCGGAGAGCAATACTTAGATAAAGGCAAGCTGGCAGAAGCTTAATTTGAACATAAGGGAGACACTGATAGCATGTTAAGGGAAAGTGGGGTGATTATCCCTCTTATCCGTCCTTCATTTAAGAATTTTTCAATTTGGGGTGCTGCTGGATCCTCAATGACACCTGGAAGTACAGGTGGCACCAGGGGCCCAAAGCATAAAATTTTAGACATGTAAGGGGGGGGTGTCGGAGGAGATGGGCAGAGCATGGGGGCCCTGGGCTGGGGGCAGGGCAGAGAGGAGTCACATGGAGGGTCACCTGGGGAGGTCACATGCCCTCTTTTGTGTCCCTCCCATGAGTGTAGTACGGGCAAGAAATGATTTCTACTTGCACCACTAGTCTCAGGTGATCTGTTTGCCCAGGACCGAACACAAAGGACAAGGAGGGGCCAAGGGGAGAGGTGATATAGGAGGCTCGGCTGGAAGGAGCGGGCTGCTGGACTCGGGGGAGAGAGAACAGCCAGAGCCCACCTGGATGGGGACAGACCCAGCTGGATGGTGCTGAGACTGGCCAGGCCTGAGGGCCCTGAGAACTGCCTGTGCTGGGTTCAGATGCTCAATAAACCTCCTGTGTTACGCTGGCTGAGTCACTGCAGGCTGGAGATCGGGGGGCATTGCTCCCTCTGGGGGTGGAGGCCCTGGGGGGCCAGAGCGAGAGGACTCCCTGAGAGGGCCCACGGCAGAGACGGGCGTGCTGAAGGCTCAGAGAGGTGCAGTTCCAGGAGGCACCGGAGCCCAGGGCTTAACCCCCGAGAGAGAGTGGACCCCCGAGAAGGGCTGTCACATTGAAGGGGGTTCCTCCCAGGGGTCGTACGGAGCTGAGAGAGAGCACAGGGCCTGGGAGTCCATGACGGGGGTGACCTGGGGGACAGCTCTCTGGCTGGGGGGAAGAGGGGCAGCCCTCAGCATGGGGGAAGCGATATTCAAGCCCTCATGCAACACTCACTGAGAAGAGCATGTTCTTCTTGTCCTGGTTGACAGCACGAGGGTCTGGGACAGGTTCCGTGTGCTTGATTACCGAGACAGACTCACCTGGCAGGAGGAGCAGAGAGGTCTGAGCACACGGGATGAGGGCACCAGGAGTCCTGCCAGACAGACACCCGACATCCCCACTACAAGGACAGATAGGCACCCACAGATGCAAACAGGCCCAGACACACACACACACAGGGAGCGGAACAGGAGCTTAGAGACGCCCTCCTCCACCCCAGCGAGACCCACTCACCCACCGACAGACACATGGACAGTCAGAGAGGCAAAGTCACCCAGAGAGACACCCCCCCACACACACAGTGACACCCACACAAACACCTCCCAGACAACCCCCCAACGTACACCCTCCCCAGACACTCACAGACCTGCTGCATTGGCTACTGTTATCCCCCAGGGCTACAGACTCACAATCACAAGCTTGAATTTCTCATGCCTGCCCCGCAGTTCTGTCCCCCCCAGACCAGATTTGCCATCCTTAGGCCCCCAACCCAGTCCTTCCCCACCAGCCCAGCCCCCACCCCAGTTCTTTTCCCCGCAGCCCATCTCCCAGGCTGGTTTGCCCCCCACCAGACCCTAACCTGTCAGGATGGACTGGTCCACACGCAGGGTGGTGGATTTGATGGAGATGATCCGGATGTCAGCTGGCACCTTGTCACCCACTGCAGGGAGAGGCACAAGACACGCTGTGATGGATGGACACGGGGGAAGGAGTGTCCCCACTACCAGAGTCTGGAGGGCAGACCCTGCACCCCACCCCCTCTCAGCAGGGCTGCAGGGGACGCTCAGGGCAAAAGGGTGAGGGGGCTGTGTGACTTTGGACCAGCTCATCCCTGGGGTACAAGGCACTGAATTCCCCAGGGCCGGGGTTGAGAGTGTTGGAGCAGCAGCTGGGGGGACACGGCCCCTGGGTGTCAGCAACACACAACACCAGGAGACCACACCGAGGGAGGGAGCCAGACAGCCAGGGGTGTGGAAGAGGTTATACAGGGAGAGGAAATGCTGGATCTTTTCTCCCTGTCCACCCCTAGCCGGGGCACCAGCCCCGCTATTCCAGCCGGGGATCAGGCCCCCCAGCAGTGTAACCCTAGCTGCCCCTCTCCGCTGGGACCCTTCCTGTAAGCTCAGTAAGTGTCTCCCTCCTCCCCCTCCTTAGTGCCCTCTATGTCCTGCTGGCCATGTCCTTGTAACCCTGGCTCATCACATTCCTGCTGCCCCGGCCGCTTGGCACTGCCCATAGAAGGAGCGCCCAGCGCCTCAGCCCCCCCTCTTTGCCCAGGGGGCTCTCAAGGAGATGGCGAGGTCAGGGCTCCCGGCTGGCTGGCTGGCACGGCTGGGGGGCACTGGGAAGGGGGATATAAGGCCACCCCCCAGCCTGCAGGGAGGGATGGAGACGGGGCCAGGGCAGGGGACACAGGGTCTCTCCCCCCAGGCGGGGGGGGGGGGCAGGGGGAGGGGGCAGTTGGCTGAAGCCCAGGCCCGGGAACACCTGTCACTGAACAAGTGCAGCGCAAAGGGGATTCCACGGAGCTCCGCTTTCAGACGGGGCCAGGGACTGTCTGTTCCCAAACACCCGCCTCTCAGCCCGGGGAGAATGAGGCTGTGTCTGCCCCACAAGCCAGGGTCAGGGCAGGCTGGGGCCAGGCAGTAAACAAGGCCGAGAGAGGCTGGGAGGCCCTGCTCAGCCAGCCCCCACAGCCCCAACACCCTCGCAGAGGGGACGGGTGAGGAGCATTGGCAACTCTCCAAGGGCATTGTGGGTAATCATGGCAACAGCATGGTTGGGACGTTATCCCAACCCTTCAACCCTCAGTACACAGGGTGTGTTTAACCATTGCCCGGGGATGCCCCGTGCCATTTGCTCCATGGTGCCTTCAGCACCTTGATGTGCTCACTGCCACACACTCACCAGCCACCTCGGTGATGTCACCGGGGACCATGTCCCGGGCCTTGATTCTCTGCACAGACTTCCTGTCTGCACGGTACACCTTGCCCATCTCGGGTTCATACTCCTTCAGGGCCTCAATGGCGTTTTCAGCGTTCCTCTCCTGCCAGGGCAGCACAAAAAGTCACGCCCACCTGCCCACAGCCCCCCGGGGGCTGGGTGAACTGGGTGAACCCCCTCAACCGGCAATGAGATGTGGGTTGGGTTGCTGTTGGCTGTTTACACAGCAATCCGTCACTTGGTGTTGAGGTGCGGCCACCTCTGGGGTGGTGCACGTGGCTGTTTACACAGGGGCCCATCGCCCGGTGCCAAGATGGAACCCCATTCTGGGATGAGACATTGATGTCAGTGACCACTTCTAAGTCTCCTGCGCTATCTCCCGGGTCACTTCAGCAGTCTCCCATCCAGATACTGATCTGGCCTGACCCTGCTTTGCACATAGAGGGGATGGTCGCTGGCCCCTGGTTACCTGCCAGACTCCTACGATGGCATTGGCGATGAGGATCAGGAGAATGACAAATGGCTCCACGAATGCAGTGATTGTCTCCTCACCTTCCTCAAACCAGGCCAGCACCTATGAGGGGCAGAGCCACAACCAGGTCACGTCTGTGTGACCTACAGAGCTCCCCATGCACAGCACAAGTCACCCTTCCCGTCCCATGGCTGGAGAGCTACAGCCCTCCCTTCCCCTCCTCCACCGAGCTACACAAACCCAGAGTGCTACACCCTTCCCACCCATATGGCCAGGGAGTTACAGCTCTCCGTTCCCCTCCTTCACACAGCTACACCCTCCCACACACACCCATGCACCCTTAAATGCTACACCCCTTCCCCCACAGCCATAGCCCCAGACCTTCACCATGACCCTCCCCACACAGAGTTCTACGCCCCTCCCACCCACATGACCAGAGAGCTACACTCCTTACTCCCCCTCCACCTCCACAGAGCTGCACCCTTCTCACCCACATGGCCAGAGAGATACAACCCCCTCCCCACTATACTCTCCCACACGCACACACAGAACTACACACTTACACAGTGCTGCACCTCTCCCCTCTCCTCCACAGAGCTACACCCTCCCCCCATAGAGGGCTACACCCACTTAGACACACAGCCAGAGCACTACACCCTTCACGCCACATAGCAAAAGTGCTACACCTCTCCACAATTCTACATCCTCCCCCGGACACACATACAGTTCTACACCCTCACTCTCTCTCCCTCACACACACACACATAGTGCTACACCTCTCTCCTTCCCCCACCTAGCTACACACTTGCACACCTCCCATAGATGCCCAGAGCACTTCAGCTTCTTAAACACACAGCCAGAGCACTACACCCCCCTCCATACCCCCAGAACTACATGTGTCTCTCTCTCACATACATCCCACACAGGCCTCTGCAAATATTACACCCCAGCCCATCACTCGGAGCATTACAGTCCTTCCCATTCGCACACACAGCGCACAACACCCTACCTCACACTCCCGCAGGTAGCTACCTAGCTCCCGACACTCATTACTCTCTTGGCTATTTCTATCACAATGGAGTCTTGTCCCAGGTGCTGCACAGACCTCAACTGAGATCAGGAGTCCCCGTAAGCCAAGTGCTGCACAGACCCTGCCCAGGATCCAGGGGTGTATGGGGATGTGTGGGTAGATAGATAGATAGATAGATAGATAGCAGGAGGGAGATACTACCGACCACCTGACCTGGATGGTGATAGTGACTGTGAAATGCTCAGGGAGGTTAGAGAGGCTATAAAAATAAAAAACTCAATAATAATGGGGGATTTCAACTATCCCCATATTGACTGGGTACATGTCACCTCAGGACGGGATGCAGAGATAAATCTTCTTGACACCTTAAATGACTGATTCTTAGAGCAGCTAGTCCTGGAACCCACCAGAGGAGAGGCAATTCTTGATTTAGTCCTAAATTGAGCACAGGATCTGGTCCAAGAGGTGAATAGAGCTGGTAATAATGACCATAATATAATTAAATTTAACATCCCTGTGGCAGGGAAAACACCACAGCAGTCCAACACTGTAGCATTTAATTTCAGAAAGGAGGACAACACAAAAATGAGGAAGTTAGTTAAACAGAAATTAAAAGGTACAGCGCAAAAAGTGAAACCCCTGCAAGCTGTGTGGAAACTTTTTAAAGACACCATAATAGAGGCTCAACTTAAATGTATACCCCAAATTAAAAAACATAGTAAGAGAACCAAAAAAGAGCCACCGTGGCTAAACAACAAAGTAAAAGACGCAGTGAGAGGTAAAAAGGCATCCTTTAAAAAGTGGAAGTTACATCCTAGTGAGGAAAATAGAAAGGAGTATGAACTCTGGCAAATGAAGTGTAAAAATACAAGTAGGAAGGCCAAAAAAGAATTTGAAGAACAGCTGGCCAAAGACTCAAAAAGTAATAGCAAAAATGTTTTTAAGTACATCAGAAGCAGGAAGCCTGCTAAACAACCAGTGGGGTCACTGGACGATCGAGATGCTAAAGGAGCATTCAAGGACGATAAGGCCATTGCAGAGAAACTAAATGAATTCTTTGCATCAGTCTTCACTGTTGAGGTTGTGAGGGAGATTCCCAAACTGAGCCATTCTTTTTGGGTGACAGATCTGAGGAAATGTCCAAGATTGCAGTGTCTTTAGAGGAGGTTTTGGAACAAATTGATAAACTAAACAGTAATAAGTCTCCAGGACCTGATGGTATTCACCCAAGAGTTGTGAAGGAACTCAAATGTGAAATTGCAGAACTACTAACTGTGGTTTGTAACCTATGATTTAAATCAGCTTCTGTAACAAATGACTGGAGCATAGCTAATGTGATGCAAATTTTTTAAAAGGGCTCCAGAGGAGACTCCGGCAATCACAGGCCAGTATGTCTGACTTCAGTAGTGGGCAAACTGGTTGAAACTATAGTAAAGAACAAAATTGTCAGACACATAGATGAACATATGTTGGGGAAGAGTCAACACGGTTTTTGTTAAGAGAAATCATGCCTCACCAATCTACTAGAATTCTTTGAGGAGGTCAACAAGCATGTGGACAAGAGGGATCCAGTGGATAAAATGAATTTAGATTTTCAGAAAGCCTTTGACAAGGTCCCTCACCAGAGGCTCTTAAGCAAAGTAAACTGTAGTGGGATAAGAAGGAAGGTCCTCTCATGTATCTGTAACTGGTTAAAAGAGAGGAAACAAAGGGTAGGAATAAATGGTCAGTTCTCAGAATGGAGAGAGGTAAATAGTGGTGTCCCCCAGGGGTCTGTACTGGGCCCAGTCCTATTCAACATATTGATAAATGATCTGGAAAAGGGGGTAAACAATGAGGTGGAAAAAATTGCAGATGATACAAAACTACTCAAGATAGTTAAATCCCAGGCAGAATGTGAAGAATTACAAAAGGATCTCACAAAACTGGGTAACTGGGCAACAAAAGGGAGGTGAAATTCAGTGTTGATAAATGCAAAGTAATGCACATTGGAAAACATAAACCCAACTATACATATAAAATGATGGGTCTAAATTAGCTGTCACCACTCAGGAAGGAGATTTTGGAGCCATTGTGGAGAGTTCTCTGAAAACATCCCCTCAATGCGCAGCAGCCATCACAAAAGCGAACAGAATGTTTGGAATCATTAAGAAAGGGAGAGATAATAAGACAGAAAATATCATGTTGCCTGTATATAAATCCATGGTACGCCCACTTCTTGAATACTGCCTGCAGATGTGGTCACCCCATCTCAAAAAAGATAAGGATCACTTGATGATTACCTGTTCAGTGAAAACAGCATGGGAGAGGTTTGCTGCTTGTCATCAGTAAGGCATTGTGAGAGACAATCCAGCTTACTGAGTTAAGAGGACACAGCGGTCCCACAGTGCCACGTTGCACCCCAGGGATCTCGTCATATACCCCATCTATCTATCTAATCTATCTATCTATCCCCATCCACCCCATCTAATCTAATCTAATCTATCTCCATACACGCTCATCAATCTATTTTATCGCAAAATAGCTTCCATTTCTGGCCCATCCCCTCTACCTGGTCACAATCAGCTTGGTTAGCTGCAGGTTTACTGCCCCAGGGCTCCTGAGGTGCTGGGGTGTCACCTCCGGCTGCTCTGACTCAGGGAATAACTGGATTTCACACACACCCCCTGCACAGACACACCCCACCCCTACCAAGCGAAGCACTGCTGCACAGACACACCCTCAGGCATGCACACGTGCAGCACAATGCACACCTCCTCAGACACAGGGGCCAGCTCTCTAACGCCCCCCTGCAGCAATACAGCCACACGTGTGTGCACACACTCACACAGACCCCCCCCCAAGTGTCTGCCACTTTCGCACAGACATCAGCCCCCTCTCCCCCCCCCCACCTGCCAAACACACACAGTTACACACAGGGATGGGGCAGCCTTGCCCAGGCTGGACCCAACTGTGCCCACTCAGGTTTCATCCAAGGCCCAGTGAGATTGAGATCAGTTTACAGGCCTCTTGCACTCACGCAAGCGGACGGGGGGCGCAGCTGTCGCCACCTCCCCCCCCAGTACATATCAAGATCAAGGGGACATGGGAGGAGGGCTAATGGAGCCACATGGGGGGAGAATCACTTGGGGGAGGGGCTCCTCCCCCCACCACTGCCTATCCAGGCAGGGTCTCCCATTCTTTAACACCTGCCAGACGAAGCCCTGGGCCTCCCTCCTTCCACTCCTGAGCCCTGGCTCCCTCTTTCCACCCGCAGCCCTGGCCCAGCTGCTGACACTTGAGATGCTGCCTCTCCGGAGCCGATACTGAAACCTTCAAGACTGAATTCCGGGCGGGCCTGGGCCAGGCCTCCGCACAGAAAGGTCATGGTGAAGGACAATGCAAGATGACTCCCAAAGCCTGCTCCCCTCCTGGCCTGAGGAGCCCCGGGCCCCCAGCACCTCTGCCACAGAGACACAGCATGGGGCCTGGATGGAGTGGGGTGGGACCGTACGCCTGGCCCTTCCCCAGGGACACCTGTCCCCCAGCATCTCCCAGTAGTTTGCACACAGGAGTGATCCAGACTTCACCCTGCCCTGCTCAAAAGGGGGAAACTGAGGCACAGAGAGCCTGTGGCAGGGTCAGGAATAGAATCCAGAAATCCTGACTCGCAGTCCCCCCTGCTCTAACCACTAGACCCTGCTCCCATCCCAGAGCCAGGGATAGAACCTAGGAGTCCTGACTCCAGTCTCTACCCCACTGGGTGTCCCAGGACATACCAGCCTCTCACACTAAAATTTACTCCTCAGTTCCCATGTTATACATAGAGAGCTCCCTTCCCACCATAGCTTCCTCCCCAGCCCTCTGGGACCCCCCAGTCAATCATGGAGCTGCAGACTCTGGGACCCCCCAGGCCCCATCACTCATTAAGGAGATGCAGCCCCTCCCACACCCTGGGCCCCAGCCCCCTGTCACTCACGAAGGAGATGCAGCCCCTCCCACACCCTGGGCCCCAGCCCCCTGTCACTCACGAAGGAGATGCAGCCCCTCCCACACCCTGGGCCCCAGCCCCCTGTCACTCACGAAGGAGATGCAGCCCCTCCCACACCCTGGGCCCCAGCCCCCTGTCACTCACGAAGGAGATGCAGCCCCTCCCACACCCTGGGCCCAGCCCCCTGTCACTCACGAAGGAGATGCAGCCCCTCCCACACCCTGGGCCCCGCCCCCTGTCACTCACGAAGGAGATGCAGGCCCCTCCCACACCCTGGGCCCCGCCCCCTGTCACTCACGAAGGAGATGCAGCCCCTCCCACACCCTGGGCCCCGCCCCCTGTCACTCACGAAGGAGATGCAGCCCCTCCCACACCCTGGGCCCCGCCCCCTGTCACTCACGAAGGAGATGCAGCCCCTCCCACACCCTGGGCCCCGCCCCCTGTCACTCACGAAGGAGATGCAGGCCCTCCCACACCCTGGGCCCCGCCCCCTGTCACTCACGAAGGAGATGCAGGCCCTCCCACACCCTGGGCCCCCCCCCTGTCACTCACGAAGGAGATGCAGCCCCTCCCACACCCTGGGCCCCGCCCCCTGTCACTCACGAAGGAGATGCAGCCCCTCCCACACCCTGGGCCCCGCCCCCTGTCACTCACGAAGGAGATGCAGCCCCTCCCACACCCTGGGCCCCGCCCCCTGTCACTCACGAAGGAGATGCAGCCCCTCCCACACCCTGGGCCCCGGCCCCCTGTCACTCACGAAGGAGATGCAGCCCCTCCCACACCCTGGGCCCCGCCCCCTGTCACTCACGAAGGAGATGCAGCCCCTCCCACACCCTGGGCCCCGCCCCCTGTCACTCACGAAGGAGATGCCCCCTCCCCCACACCCTGGGCCCCGCCCCCTGTCACTCACGAAGGAGATGCAGGCCGCCAGCAGCAGGATTCGCACCAGCAGGTCCTCAAACTGCTCCAGCACCAGTTCCCAGATGGACTTGCCTGGGGAGTGGGGCAGGGTCAGGGAGCAGCAGGGACCCCCCCCCCCCAGCAGGGGCCCCCCCTATTTTCCTTGGGTGTGGGGACACAGCGGGTCAGAGGCAGGGACACCAAGTCACTAGGGTGCCAGACCTCCAGGACTGCCCTGGAGCCACCAGGAATTAAAGATTGTGTCAGGTGATGAAAGCGCCAGGAATCCATGCAACCAAAACGGGCAGCGCTGCAAGTCCCAGGGGCTGGAGCCAGAATGGGGATCGGAGCTGGGGAGTAGGTTGTGGGGCAGGGGAGGGCCTTGGGGGCACTGGGTTGAGGGTGCTGCCCACAGGGGCAAAGTTATAGGGCAATGGAGGGCACTGGGCTATTGGAGGGGGCCGTGGGCCCTGGTGGCCCTGAGTTAATGGGGGGGACCCAGGGTTTCCGTTAGAGAGAGGCTGGGGCTGGCTTGAGGATGTGGCCGGCAGTGGCTGCCATGGGCTCTGGCACTTTGTGGTTTTGGGGCCACCAGTGGCTGGGACTCACCTTCCTCTGCTGGGAGCTCTGCCCAAGGAGACACCGCCGCAGGAGCGAAGGAAGAGAGGAGAAGAGGCTGGTTAGCACCGTGAGCGGGGAACCCCCGGGGCAGAATACATGCTGCAAGCTGGGGAGATAGGAACGAGCCCCAGATGAGGGGACATGCCACACAAACAGGGGCCGATGGGTTCATTGGCCTGGGGCACAACAACCCAGCCCAGCGTTGCACAGGGCATGGGGCCTCGAACCCTGGCGCCTTTGCCAGGCTAAGGGGAGAATGTGTGTGTGTGCATGACCCACTGAGACACACACATGGCTGACAGGAAGAGGAAAGGGGGGGCAGGACCCCCAAAAATTAATGGGGTGAAATGGGAGAGGGGTGGGCCCAGCTGAAATGAGGTACCAGGGCCCTACATTTCCCTAGCTGGGGCTGCACAGACACGCAGAGAATGGGGTGCGCACATCCCCACTGGTGTAAACACACCCTCAGACATGTAAACATGCCCTCACACACGTGAACACACCTGCACATACATGTAACACACACTCACACACTTGTGAACACGCCTTCACACATACAGAAACACGCCCGTACACACCTAGATGCAGCCAAACATATTCGTTCACACACAAGTACTCACTCACACGCCCTCCTGCGGTGACCCGAGCTGGGCTGAGATTTTCCGAGCTCGCTGGCCTGCTGCTCTGGGACCTGCACCAAGCCCAGTGGGGCTCGGGGGTGGCAGGAAGCTGGAGGGGCACCGTGGTGCGGTTGGGATCATGCCCATCCCCAATTGCAGTCTGAGCCACCCATCAATTCCACACATGCTGGCCCAGCACAGGACTTTCCTGCCCCGCGGGCATTAGGGGCTCCCCTTAACCCTGTCCCAGAACAGGAAGCGTAGCGTGAAGGATGCCCTCCACCCCATGCAGCATCTCTGGTGTCCGATCCATTCCAGAGGGAATTACAGGCGGGTTATTCTTAGCCAAGGAGCAGCTGCCTTGTCCCCAGGACGGCTGGGCCTTGCCTGTGTCTGCATCTTTGGCTTCTCTGTGATAGGCTCCGACCCTGACTCCGATATGTGGCTCCCCGGGCTCCGATACGCGGCTCCCCAGGGCTCCGATACGCAGCTCCCGGGGCTCCGATACGCGGCTCCCCGGGCTCTGATACACGACTCCGACCCTGACTCCGATACGCGGCTCCCCAGGCTCTGATACGTGGCTCCTGGGGCTCCAATACGTGGCTCCCCGGGCTCCGATACACAGCTCCGACCCTGACTCCGATACGCGGCTCCCCAGGCTCCGATACGCGGCTCCCCTGGCTCCGATACGCGGCTCCCCTGGCTCCGATACACAGCTCCCTGGGCTCCAATAAGTGGCTCCCTGGGCTCTGATACACGGCTCCCGGGGCTCCGATACACAGCTCCCCTGGCTCCGACACGCAGCTCCCTGGGCTCTGATACGCGACTCCTGGGGCTCTGATATGCGGCTCTCCTGGCTCCGATACACGGCTCCCGGGGCTCTGATACGCAGCTCCGGGAACCCTGCTGATTCTTGCCCTGACACCTGGCTCCCCTCACGCTGCTACGCCCCTCCCAGGGCCCAGTGGCTGATGCCAGCCTCACTCAGTGTCTCTTGCTCCAACCCTGCCTCTCTGTGTCCAGCCAACCCCATGCATCCTTAGCCACCTGTTCCATTCTCTCCATCTCTGTCTGCCTGCTTCTTTCTCGCTCCCCAGCCCCAGACATTTCTCTCTCCCCCCCACCCCATACACAAGCAAACTCTCTGTTCCTCATTCTCCATCCTTCTTCCTTTCTCAGTCTCTTTCTCGCTCCGCCTCTCTCCTCTTCTTCTCTCTCCCCATCCCGGTGGCCGGTCCAGCCGGGTGTGTGAGGATGTGGGGCGAGCTGTCAGCACTTACCGTTGGGACCATATTTGTCCAGGTTCTTCTTCACCTGTTCAGGTGTCAGGCCAGAGTTCTCACTCACACCAAAGTAGGCCAGACACTCCTCCACGGTCTTTGCGTGGGAGTTCTCCATGGCTGCCCCACCAGCGCTGTAAGCCCCGTCCCCCCCGGGCTTGGCCTGTCTCTGCCCCTCACAAGCCCCGGCCGATCAGTTGGTCTCCGAGCGTCTCCCACCTCACGTCCCTTGCCGCTCAGCAGACCATGGCCCTCCTCGGCGCCCAGTATCCGACAGGGGAGCCCACCCAACCTGTCCCGGTATAGACACCCTCAGTGGGGACTGGGGCTGTCCCTGGTCCTTATGAGGGAGCCCACGGGGCAGACTCCCGGGCCCCGTCCCTGGGCTCCCATTGGGCAGCTGCCCTGACATCACAGCCGGCACCAGCACACATATGGCATTCTGCGCAGGGAGGTATTTTTGCTGACTTGAGGCAGCGGGAGGGAGGCCGAGAGGTGACTTAGGAGAGTGGCTGAGGCGGCCGCACACCGAGATGTCACTCAACGTCTGCCAGCTCCTTGGAAGAAACCTCCCCCGCCAATCCTGCTCCTTGGCTCCTTGCGGGTTATTTCTGTCCCTTGGCCATAATGGACACATGCGGCTCAGGGCTTGTCTCACTCACGTTTCCTCGTCCTCACCCCCTTCCCTCTGTCCATGCCTCTGTTCCTCTGCTTACCCCCCAGCCAGCTGAGCTCTCGCGCGGCCGTCCACAGCTGCACCCGCTGGCCAGATCCTATGTGCCCCCCTCCAGTTACCCAGCCAGCTGTGCCACGAACACTCGTCAGCAACCCATCTAGATCGACCCACCCGCTGTCTGCCTAGATCCCCGCAGGCCGCTCCAGCTACCCAGCCAGCTGTGCCGTGAACTCTAACCAGCAACCCATCTAGATCAACCCACCCGAAGGAAGGGCCGGCAGCCCCAGAGCTGGGCGGGGGTGGAGGGCTGTGAGCTGGTGGGATCCCCTCCGTGGGGGAAGGGCTGGCAGCCGCAGGGCTGGGGGATGGGGCTGTTAGTCGGGGGGGATCCCCTCTATGGAGGAAGGGCCAGCACCCCAGGCCTGCGGGGGAGCTGTGAGCCAGGGGGATGCCCTCTGTGGGGGAAGGGCCAGCAGCCAGCTCCAAATTGAAACTCAGAGAAAACATTAAGAACATTACCACTTCATCATATCTCTCCCCACTTCAAGACTGACTGAGCAGGGTCACTTTAGCCAGTGACCTGGGGAAGTTCGAACCCACCAACGTACCCATGGATGCCCCAGCATCTCTCCCATTCCTTGGTGGGAGTTACACCAGGCCCTTCCAGTTTTACGCCCTCCCTTAGGTCAGGTGTGCTTGATGGCACTCGCAGGCTGCATTTGGGAAGGTTTATGCGGCCCGTGTCCTTTTGCCACCCCAAAACCCCCAGGGGTCAAACTGGGATCAGGTCTTCTCCCAGTGCTCCAGTCTGGAGGGCTGTGATTCGGGCTCTCTTGGTTAAGAGCCCCCATCTTGACCTTGGCCACCCTCTGACCAGGTGTCTCTGTCACCTGCTGCTTGGCATCAGCCCCTTTCATTGGATGCAGCCACGGGGGAGAGGGGTCAGGATACACAGCAAAGCGCCGCCCAATAGATAGGGCTGCAGCTTTTTAAGGGCCTGCCCCATGGCCAGGCATTCCTTCTTGATGGCCGCATAATTCTGCTCCCGGGGCAGCAGCTTCCTGCTCAGGTACCCGATGTGGGGTCTCTCCCCCTTAGCATCAGCTTGCATCAGCATTGAGTCCAGCCCGGCATCCGAGGCGTCGGTGAACACTGTAAAGGGCTTGGCAAAATCTGGTTTACCAGATTTACAAGGCCCTGGATTAGAGTCTCCCTCAGTGCACAGAGAGCCCTCTGGCATTGCTTGGTCCAGACCACCTCATCTGGCTTCCCCTTCTTACACAGCTCAGGGATGGGGCAGCTGGGGAGCTCAAGTGGGGTACAAACCTCCGGTAGTACCCTGTCATCCCGATAAAAGTCTGGACCTGTTTCTTGGTCTGGGGAACAGGCCAATCTCTGATCGCCTCCACCTTGGCCGGCTCTGGGCTTGGGCAGCTGCTCCTCACCTTGTGGCCCAGGTATGACACCTCTGCCATCCCCACCTTACACTTTTCAGCTTTTACTGTCAGTCCTGCCTCCTTGAGGCAGCCCAGCACCCTCCTCACCTGGGACACATGGTCCTCCCAGGTCTGGCTAAAGACACAGGTGTCATCAATGGACTCCAGGGCCAAGTTCTCCATCCCCCTCAGTTCTACTTCCCCTTGGGGAGCCCATTCTCGGTGCAGGAATCCCTTCTCCCATAGGAATCTTTCCCTGCAGCCTTCCCCAAGGGAATTTGCAGCGCTGTGGCCAGCAAGTTCCCTCAGCTTCTCCAAGGAGGGATCCTTCTGTGGCTCGGTCTGGAATTCAGCTGCTGGGGGACGGAGTGGGACCTGTTCCCTCTCACTGGCTGGGCTTGGGGTCACAGCCACGCTGAGCCCTGGCCCTGGTAGCTCCCTCCCTACCGTGGGATCACTTCCCAGTAGCACCATAGGGGGGAGGGATAGCTCAGTGGTTTGAGCATTGGCCTGCTAAACCGAGGGTTGTGAGTTCAATCCTTGAGGGGGCCACCTGGGATCTGGAGCAAAAATTGGGGATTGGTCCTGCTTTGAGCAGGGGGTTGGACTAGATGACCTCCTGAGGTCCCTTCCAACTCTGATATTCTATGAATAGATCTGTCCTCTGGACAAGGCAAAGCTGGTTGGCAGCCGACCTGCCCTGCCTGTGGGTCCCACAACTCAGCTGGGGTCTCAGCTCCCGCCATGCTCCGCGCTGCCCTTGCTGTCCCAGTGGGGCTAGGCAGCAAGCTCTCTGCTCTCCTTACAGCAACAGAGCCAGCGTGAGCCCCCTCTCCAGTGTGCAAGGAGTCGGGGAGCATCTCTCCATCCCACCCAGCCCCAGGGCTCTGGTTACAGGCAGGCAGGTAGTCTGAGCCTAGCTGCTCCTCCCCCCTGCCAGCCAGGTCATTTGCATTTTCACTGTCCATTTTTCCATCTTAGCCATTTGTTTCCCTGGATTCAAATTCAAACCCTCAGCCATTACAGGAACAGGGCCTGGATCCTGTCCCAAAGAGACACAGTCACCCCACAACAGGGTCTCACAGCTGATATGCTGGAGAACCCCAACTACCAGCCAGCCCAACCCCTCCTGTGTCTGCACAGGGATCTGGGCCATAGGCAGGGCGAGGGGCTTCATCCCGAGGACCCTCACCCAGCTCACACAGCCCTTCAGCATCTAGTGGGGTTGCACCATCCCACCCATCAGGCTGACGGAGTCTATGGCCTTGGGACCCAGCAAGGGAGCTAGACACCAGGGCTTTTCCGCAGGATCCCCCTGGTTCAAATTGCCAGACTGCTCAAAGGCAGTGAGGTGTGCATCCACATCCCCCCCCCCTCCTTAAGCAGGGGCAGCAATTTAGTCTCGAGGTTCCCTGCGGAACTGGCCCCCCGGGGTCTATCCCCACTCACCCCTGGGGGATCCCCTATGCCTCTCCACTCCACCACCGCCAGTTCATGCTGCTGCTGCTGCTGCTCTTGTTCAGGCTCTTGCTGTCTCTCACGGTCCACTCTCTCCTTCGGACTCAGCTCCAATCCCGGCCGTCTCCGATCCCCTGATGGGGAACCCGATCATGGAGACCCCAGTCTGGTCAGGTACAGGAGTCTTGGGGATGCCTGGCTACCTCTCCAGCTGCTCCCAGATCCTCTTGTATCCCCATCTGGGTCAGGAATCTGCTCCTTAGAGGTTCATCATCCTCCAGCTGCATGATTAACTGTGCTTTGGTGAACTTTCCAATGCTCAACCCTCTCTTTTTGCACAGGGTTACAATGTCCTTCTTAAGGAGACGGAGATAGGCCATCACCTCGCTGTTCCCAAGTTGTAGTGGACTCACAGGCCTGTGTGCTCTCAGCTCCCCACGGTTTCCAGGAGGAACCCCTAGTGTGCCAGCCCTTCTCCAGGTCACCGCCTCTCTCCCAAGGTCAAGCCACAGACTCCTCCGCCCCTTAGACTGCTCACCACAGTCCCCAGGGGGACCCCATTACTGCAACAGTCCCTCTCACTGGTCACATACTCCCAGGGGTTAAGCGTAGCTTCTTCACCCCCTGAAACTGTCCCTCTCTGAGCCTTCAGCACGCCTGGTCCTCGTTAATCCCCATTCATTTTACTGCTCCCCAGTCACTTACTGCAAGAAGCGCCATTCACGGGGTGCAGTACATCCCACTGCTTCCACCAGCTGTCACGGAGTCACCAGGCGATGCTCTGGAACTGCTCCCCACAGAGCTGGGCACGACTCTGGGGGAGCCTCCTCTCTGGGAGCAGATTGTCGCCAGGGCAAGAAGCTCACACGGCTTCCACCTTCCTGGGTCTGACCTCGGAGCATTCAGCATCCCCTGCCCCACTATGCACTTCCCACAGTGAGTCCCCACAGGCAGGGCTCCTGGGGAAGCCAGAGGGCCCTGCCCCGCAACTCCACAGTCAGATGTGACTCTCAGCCAGCCAGTAAAACAGAGGTTTATTAGATGACAGGAACACGGTCTAACGCAGAGCTTGTAGGTGCAGAGAACAGGATCCCTCAGCTGGGGTCCATCTTGGAGCCAGGGAGGCCAGACCCCGGGTCCGGGCCTCCCTCGTTTTCCCCAGCCAGCTCCAAACTGAAACTCTCCAGCCCCTTCTCTGGCCTGTGTCTCTCTCCCGGGCCAGGAGACCACCTGATCTCTTTGTCCTCCAGCACCTTCAGTTGGCACCTTTGCAGAGGAGGGGCCCAGGCCATCAGTGGCCAGGAGACAGGGTGTCGGCCATTCTCTGTGTCCAGACACCATCACACTGGCCCTCTAGGGCTCTACAACAATCACACCCCCAATCCCACCACCTGCATTCTTAAGAAAGGCATGGGGGAAACTGAGGCACCCACCCAGTATTCAGAGAAAACATTAAGAACATTCCCACTTCGTCACATCGGGGGCATGGCTGCTCGGGGAGATGGGGTCAGAACCAGGGCACGGCAAATGGCCTGGGGTCAGGGATGC